GGGAAAAGTTTAAACATTTCACCTAGAACTGGAACAAGAGGAGGATGCCCACTTTTAACACTCCTATTCGGCATAGTACTGGAAGCCCTAGGCAGAGCAATCAGACAAGGAAAATAAATAAAAGGCAGCCAAATTGGAAAAGAGGAAGTTAAATTATCCCTGTTTACTGATGACATGATCGCATATCTATGCAAACCTAAAGATTCCACCCCCAAAACTCTTAGATGTTCTAAATGAATTTAGTAGAATTGCAGAATGCAAAATCAACACATAAAAATCAGTGACTTTTCTACACATCAATAATGATCTAGCTGAGAAAAAAAAAAATCAAGAAGGCATCCCATTTACAATAGCTACAAAAAAGATCTCTACAAAAAACAAACAAACAAACAAAAAAACAACAACAAAAAAACCCTACTAAACACTGATGAAAGAAATTGAAGATGACACAAATAGAAAAACATTCCATGCTCAAAGATGTGAAGAACTAATATCATTAAAATTACCATACTTCCTAAAATAATCTGAAGATTCAGTATAATCCCTATCAAAATACCAATGTCATTTTTAACAGAATTAGAAAAAACAATCCCAAATTTCATATGAAATCCCCAAAAAATCTTAACTGCAAAAGCAATTCTAGCAAAAAGAACAAAGCTGGAGACATCACTTTACCTTACTTAAAATTATACTAGAAGGCTATAGTAACCCAAAGAGCGTGGTACTCTTATTAAATATAGACACATGGATCAACAGGACAGAATAGAGAGTCCAAAACAGAAAGCCATATATTTACAGCCAGTTTATCTTTGAAAATGTCAAAAAGAGCATACATTGGAGAAAGAACACTTGCTGCAAATGGTGCTGGGAAAATTTGATTTTCATAAGCAGAGGAATGTAACTGGACCCCTACTTCTTACCATACACAAAAATCAACTCAAGGTAGATTAAAGATTTAAATGTAAGGCTGAAACAAATATTCTAGAATAAAACCTAGTGAAAACTCTTTTGGGCCTAGGTTTAGGCAAATAATTTATGATTAAGACCTCAAAAGCACAGGCAACAAAAACAGAAATAGACAAATGGGACTCTTCCGCACAGCACAGAAAATAATAAAGTGAACAGAGAACCTGTACAATGGGAGACAATATCTGTAAATTATACACCCAACAGGGCACTAGTGTTCAGTGTATATATACAAGGAACTCAACCTACTCAACGAAGAAAGAATATACCATTAAAAAGTGAAAAAACAGCATGTATGGAGGGTTTTCAAAATATATACAAATGCCCAACAGGTATGTGAAAAAAGTATTCAACATCACTAGTCATCAGAAAAAAATGTAAATTAAAACAATAATGAGATAATATTTTACCCCAGTCAGAATGGTTATAATTAAAAAGTCAAAGAATAACAAATGTTGACAAGGATGTGGAGAAAAGGCAACTTTTATACATTGTTTATGGAAATTTAAACTAGTAAAATCTTTGTGAAAAACTGAGTATGGAGATTTTCCAAAGAACTAAAAATAGAACTACCATTTGATGCAGCAATTCCACTACTGGATATCTACCCAAAGGGAAAAAAATCATTATATTAAAAAGATAGCTGCACTTGTATGTTTATTTCAGCACTATTCACAATAGCAAAAATATGGAATAAACCTAAGTGTTCATCAGTAGATAACTGGATAAAGAAAATGTGGTTTGTATATGCAATGAAATACTGGAACTGGATGTCTTTATCTCAAGTGAAACAAGTCAGACACAGAAAGACAAATATTTTTGTTCTCACTTCTAAAAACTCTCATAATTGATGGTGAATGTGTAAATTAGTACGAACACCTTGGAATGCTGCTTGACAGTACTTACTAAAATTTAACATACCCAGCTCTATTCCCCTTTATTTATTTGACTGTTCATAGCAGCATCATTAACACTTGCCAATAACTGGAAACAATATAAATGCCTATAAGCAGAATCTAAAAATTTTATGGGTGAGGATACACTGTAATTCCACAACAAAAATAAATTAACAAGCCAGGTGTGGTGTCCTCTGCCTGTAGTCCCAGATACTCGGGAGGCGGAGGTGGAAGGATACCTTGAGCCCAGAAGATCAAGGCTGCAATGAGCTATGACAGTGACATTACAGTCTAGCCTGGGTGACAAAGAGAGACTTATCTCTTGAAAGAAAAATGAATAAATAAATTGTTCATACACGCTAAATCATGGCTGAAGTTCACACACAAAAAATGTTGAGTAAAAGAAGTCAAAAACAAAAAGAATATATACTTTCCATAAAGTTTAAAAATAAGCAAGGCCAATCTGTAGTTTTAATATATTTACAAAAAAACTTGTACACAAATATTGATAGCAAAAACTCATCATAGTTAAAGGTGGAAACAACTACAATGTCCATTAATTAATTAACAAATAAAATGTGGCATATCTATAAAATGAGATATATTTCAGCCATGAAACGAGTGAAGTAGTCATAAGTGCTAAAACATGGATGCACTTAAATAACATCATACTTAGTAAGAAAAGTCAGAAACAAAAGACATATATTGTATAATTCCATTTATATTAAATATGCAGAACAGACAAATCCATAGGGACATAAAGTAAATTAGTGGTTTCCTGGAGATGAGGGAATGGAGAATGATTATGGGATTTCTTTTTAGGGTGGCAGAAGTTTCCTGGAATTACTCAGTTGCGATGGCTCTGCAACATTATGAATGTTTTAAAAATGACTGAATTGTGCATTTTAAAATGGTGAATTTTATATTATGTAAATTTTATATCAATAATAATAAATGAACAGAAACAAGCAAATAAAAAACCTCTTTTGGTTTTGAAAGTCAAGTTATATTTATTTTGGTACAGGATAGCAGTGACTAGCAAAGGATATGAGCGAGCTCTGAGGTTCCAGTCATGCTTTCTTTCATCTGAGTAGTGGTTTTATAGGTGTATTCATTTTGTAAAAATTAATAAAGTAATTTTATAATGTATGTAATATTTTTAAAGTACGTTATTTCAATAAAAGTTATAAAAACAAAATTTACAATTAAAAAATATTTTAGAGCCAGTTATAATTCAATACATGGTAACTTAAAATTGTATCAAGGAATTATTTAAATACACAATGTAGCCTCACAACTAGCAATCTATAGGTTGTTATCTGGATGCTTATTGAATTGAATAATCCATCAATTTTGAAAAGAAAAATCAAATAATTAGCAATTTTAAAGGCATGAATCAAAGATTCACATTTATTTTAAAAATATTTGCAGTGGAAATATTTAAAAACAGCAACTACTAAAATTATCATGTAAAATAATCAATAGCCTCCAATTTGAAAACAATGTGGCATTTCATAGTCAGAGGCAAAATTTGGAAAACTTTTCTCTTTACTTATTACTGTCTTCAAGAAACTTTCAAAAGACAGATGGTATTAGACAGGATACCAATGTTGCAATAATAGCTCTTTGATTTGTTTTTTAATCTCTAACTGTAACTGAAAAATTCTGGACATGCTCCAAAATTGTCACTGCGCTTTTATCCAGATGTTTTCGACCAAAGACACTTAGGCCAAAACACTTGGCTATAGAGCAAACTTAACCATTTGATTATTTATTTTATTTTCTCATTTCTACTTTTGAGAAGGATCCTGAATAATATTTATAAATATAAAGCAACATTTTATGTTTAAGGATTTGTTTTTATCTCAAAAGAATCTATGGTGAATGACAACCAGAATCACTTGGCAAATAAGATTCTATCTAGTGTGTTTTTGCAATATTCAGTAGATTTAGTACACAGATTTAGCAGTGAAAATGACTATCCAGTGCCTACTGTAAAAATGAAATATAATACAAGTTAGTCAAATTTTTAGATTTCACAGACTCACTGCTCTAGATAAACTATTCTAAAAAATGAACTGAATAAAAATATGCTGAATAATATACAAGAGCAGATTTATCAGCAAAATTTATAAACACAGAATTTGATTTAGTAAGAAATTAATCTCTTCTTCTTCCAATTGAATTTGCCCTTCATTCATTTCCATAAGTCTTCTCTGTTATCTAAAAAAAAATAATACAGCTAGCATAGGTTTCTCCATTTTCAAAGTGGCCACATTTCTAAAGTTATAAAAACTTATTTTAACAATGTTATTATTAAATCTTATTGCTTTCTAAGTACATAAATGACAGTGACATATCCAAATGGCAAAATGAGCCCTCACATAAAAAAGAGAAAAACAATTTTTAATTAATCAACATTATTTTGGAAAGTGAGGCAAAAATAATAAATAATGGCTTATCCTCTCTTCTACTAGCATGTCATAACATTTGATGCAATTCCTATTATTATTAATAATTTAAAATAAAATAAGCCCCAGAAAGCACAAGAACATAAAATGACTTTAACGGGAAAGCTGTTGCAACTCTTTGGAAATATCAAGTACCAAGTTTAGCATTAACAAACTAATGCCAACACAAATTGGGAGGAAAAGTAGTTCTCACTCTTCCTGGCAGCATATTCTAAAATTGGACCTCGCCTGGAATGAACTGCTGCTCTGTTCACTGAGTCATTGCCTGTGGAATTTCCATTTTGGCGGTCTAATTTGGCTAATTTCCTACAAATGGACATGAGACAAGCTTCTTTCACATGCAGTATTATGTCGTTTCACACTGCAGTTATATCCCTCCACTGTGTAAACAGGAAAGGGAAATAAGTCTTGACAAAGATTAATTATTTCTTGACTTTATTCTAAGGAAAGACCGGCTTAGAGTTGAAATGTTTTCATTTTGGCTACCATTTGCAATTTTCATTGTTAAATGTATTTATTTTTTAAACTAACAAAAATTGTGTGTATTTATCATGTACAATATGTTTGAAAATATGTATACACTGTGGAATGACGAGATGGAGCTAATTAAGACATGCATTACCTCACATACTTTTTGTGGTGAGAACACAAAATCTACTAGATTTTGATAACCTAGTATTATTTATCACTATAGTGAGTTTTTATTTTTTTTTATAATGGGCTTTGTTCTCTTTTCCAAATGTATTCACTTAGCTATATTTTATTCAGAATGTAAGATACTTGCTTGATAATTGCCCTATCCCTTACCACATGATTGGTGAAGTTTCAGGATTCTACATGCTAAACTTCAGTAGTTGCTATTCCCAAGTAATAAATAAAGTCTTTATATCCTTATTTTCAGCTAGTGTACCTATATAAAATAATTACTTTCTAATTAAAGGCCTTGTTATTTTTTGTTTCAGAAAATTAAAATATGCTTGTGTATCCAATATAAGAAAAGGAAAAATTATTTCAAAAATTACAGGTGTAAAATCATTTATTTATGTGCTATGGCTTTCTCATTTGGGAACAAAATGTTTGTTTTCTATAATTTCCAAAAAATCACTCTCAGGTTTTACACTTAATATATCTGGGATTCCAATCTAGAAAAATCAAAATATAGCAATAATTTATAAATTATTTCCCATAGTATTTTGCTATAATTAAAGCTGCAAGTCACAATTCTGTTTAAATTTTAATTTAGAACAGTTTAGCCTAATTGCTTCTTAAATTTTAGATTCTTAGAACTTTTGAAATAGATTTTGATAATCTGCACATTGAAATATTCCTCATCATAACTCTCTGGTTATAGTGAGAATAACCACTGCCATTCTATTTAAATCTGTTTAATTCTAATATATAACCATCTAGAACTTGATTATATATTATGCCGATTTTTTGTTTCTGTCTAGCTTGTAATGTGTGTAGGTAAAGGGCAGAATTTGTCAAATATGTGCTAAAAATGTTTGTTTGAATAAAGTAATGTAACATACTTTTGTGTTATACTGTCCCTCACACAAAGTAGGCACTCAATAACCACCAGCTGCTTAATAAGCTGGTAATGATAAGAAGTAGCCTAAGGATTTAGTTAGTGCTCATAATAATAATAATTTTCATTGTTTAAAATACTGAATTAAGATATTTTCCATAGGCAGAATGATGGTTAATGTGTTTTGCATGTGCATAAATGTCAGCAGAAAACTAGAATGAGATGTATTGTTCTTTTGACAATGCAGGACGGCAAAGTCACCATCGAACAAAATGTAATTGCTAGGTAATTAATTATACTATTATTTATTCTCTCTTTTTTTTTTGTACTCCATGCTCATTGAGTTATCACCACTGGTAGTCAGGTTAACAATAAAATGTGTTACATTAGGGTGAAAAGAGAAAAGAGGATGTGATTTCTGTGACTGAGTTCCCACACACCATCAATTGCCATACCATGTTAGCTAACGAAAGAGAGGATTATGAATAAGGAGCCCCAAGGATCGCATCAAAGTTGGCTTTTGGGCAGTCCTAGTCCTGTTTCTTCCAGTTTGGGAGAAATACAATTAAAACTGAATCTAATAAAGTTTATCATCAGAAACTACTGAAATTAATGACTAAGCAACATCTTCCAAATTAAAGAAATCTGGTTTGTTATATTAATAAGCACCAAATAAAAATACCTGTTGAATATCTGTAGTAGAATAGAGTAGTAGTAAGAAATAAATGGAAGCCGGAGATGACATAGCTCATTTTGATGCAGAGTGGTCTCGGCTTGTATTGTAAAGGGTTGAAGAGTCCTGCAAATTCTCGAAGGGAAATAACATTATAAACATCAAATGTTAGTCTAAGAACACATGATGGAGACAAACAAGATAAATTGATCTCAGTGTCTAATAGTGTGGAAAATCTAGAATATGCACAGTTTATTCAGAGATAACCATAGTTTATCACTTCCTGATGAATTAAACATGTCCTAATCATCTTTCCATAAATATTCCTGCAAATATTTCATTACATAACTTTGTTAATATTAATCAAATGTAATTTTTATAGTATCCAAGAAATCCTTAGGGACATTTTTAATCTTCCTTTCTCTTTCTGATAGGTGCCTATATATTCAGTAAGTCACCAAATTATATTCATTTCCTCAATTCAGACACAGCTCCTATATGTCTCTCTTCTCGTCACCACTCCAGTCCAAGCCTTCATCACAACCAACCAGAATTATTACAATAGACTCCTAAGTGACTGCACTATTTCCCCCATCTAATCCACATTATACATGTCCACTATATTAATATTTTTATATAATCACATTTGACTTCCCTTCTCAAGTACCTTCACTGGCTTTCAGTCATATCCAGAATAAAGTCCTATCTTTATTGGTTTGCATCGCCCTCCAGAATTTGGCTCCATACTGGCAGTCTAACCATAACATCCAGCACTTGTCAAATATAAGCCCTGAATTTGGGTTAAGCTGTTTTTGACAGTGTTGTGTGGCCAATTCCATTTTGAGTTATTTCCTTGTGCTGGAATTCACCAACTCTCTTCTTTATATAACTAAATGTAACCACCCATTACACTCCAGCTCCTGCCCCTCCTTTTTCTCCAAGTCATTCATTTGGTATCTGAAAACATGTTTGTCGATTTTGTTTAGTTGTAAAATAGTTAATATGTGAATTTCTATGTCCTCTCCAAAATTAAGATATGGCTCTTATTTTACTCTTCTTATCTGTATCTCTAGTATTCCACCTTGCATTCTGCAAGTAGTCAGTAAATTAACTTGAAATATACAAAGAGGACCATAGTTAAAAAATCGTTACCAAAGGCCCGGTCTATTTAGATTTGATAAACACATAAAATTCTTTTTTAACAACTGTTTTGCTTTTTATGGGTTGTTTTGTGCTTAGACAATCTGTTTCCTAAACCCTTGGTCCCTAGCCATTTTGGCACCAGGTACCAGTTTAGTGGAAGAAAATTTTTCCACGGACAGGGGGATGGTTTTGGAATGATTCAAGCACATTACATTTATTGTGCACTTTATATTATTATCACATATTCACCATAATGTAGAAACAGTGGGATCCCTTAGCTTATTTTCCTGCAACTAGATGGTTTCACTTTGGGGTGATGGGATACAGTGACAGATCATCAGATATTGGATTCTCATAAGGAGTGTGCAACCTGGCTCCCTCCCATGTGCAGTTCACAATAGGGTTTGTGCTCCTATGAGAATCTAATGCAACTGCTGATCTGAGTTGGAACTGAGTTTTGCTCCCTTGCCTGCCACTCACCAAATGCTGTGCGGACCAGTTTCTAGCAGGCCATGGACTAGTACCTGTCTGTGGCCTGGAGTTGGGGACCCCTGCTTTAAACCACGGCACACAATTTGCTTTTTAAAAAATTGCTAAGCAAATCTATTATATATATATATATATATATATATATATATATATATATATATATTTCAGCTCAGCCTTACATTTCAATTATTACATATTATGAGTGAGTTGCATTTAATTTGAGTTTTATCATCATGAAGTTATCAAGTGGATCTGTTTGATACCAATAATTACCAAGGGATTATGAATATTCCCATTAGGGAGTTAATCATTGCTTTATGTGGAATGAAGGAACAGTCATAAATAACCTGTTATACTAATGCCTTCTCTATTTTCCTGGATGAGAATATGAAACATTTAATCCACATAGAAAGAGGATCATCATATTCCAAGAAGTTTCACTTTTACTATTCAAGGCTTTCAATTATGTAACACTATAATGAGATAACTGGTAAAAATGTCAAGATTAACATGTTTAAACTCATGATAAATATGCTCAACAGGATCCCCCAGAATCAAACCTTCCTGCAAGGCATTGTTTATTGTGTTTTCAATTGGCAAAATGTTAATAAATCAAGGACTGAAGATGAACAAAAGGCAAATGAGATAAAATTAAATCATGTCCCATTGTTTAAACAAAAAGGCAAGCTTATGCCAACACTAACAGAAACACTAATATGTTTTTGTAGTCAAACTTCTGTCTGTAATTACATGCCATGTCAACCATCATGCTGGAACAACAATATTGAAAGAGAAATCTTTTGGAAAAACTGTGAGCCCATGGACAATCACAAGATTTTTATCTTCAGAAAAAAAAATATCCTTTGAAAATTCTATAGACAATAACAAAAGCATAGCTTATTATAGTTTTAATGGGAAGAAATAGATCTGAGGGATTAAGGAAACGTGACAGAGTTTTAAAATATCTATATGGTTATATATCTTAATGGATGCCTATGAACCTTGTATTCACCTCAGGTCTCTGCATTTTCTATAGGAAAATAAGAATAATCTACTCAGGAGGACTGAGCTAGTGATAACACATTTCTAAAATGGGCTTAAAATCTTTTTAAAATACTAAGGGAAAACAGTTAAACACAAAATTCTATTTCTTTGAATTACAAATTTATGTATATCTTTTGCTTTTTCATTTAGTAAGAACAACCAACTTAAAAATTATAAAGACAGCAAAGATGCATATCAAGGTGGCAAATATTAAAGTGCACTGTGAAAGTGCCATAATAATTGTTATCCCCAAGTATCCACATGTAAACAGTATTGAAAGCAACTAATAGTGTTTGCTACCAGGACAACATTGTAAAAAAGAAAAAGTCAAGTACTTCTCATTAATGCCTTATATAAAATATCTCCATTATTATCTGATTCATGTATAAACACATTGCCATCTAAATCCAGAAAATAACTTCTGAGTGTACAGACAAACTTGCAGTAATACTGTGACTGAAAAATGGGCCAAAAGAAGAATGGCTGAGAGAGAGATGGTGACCATGTAAGAGATCTGTCTAATTTAAATGTAAATAAAAGAGGTGTATGGCAAGAACTGGTGTATACCTGCAAGGAAATAGGGTGGAGTATAAGGGATGTAAGGGAAATCAATAAACGTGGAAGAGAGCAAATGGTTATAAACAAAATAGTCATGAAACTCAAGAGTCGAATGGGAGATTTGGAAATATTTCCTCTTTGTTTTGAGCTACACACACACACACACACACACACACACTTGTTACTAAGTGAAATACATTTGTAATCTGAGCTCGGTAAATTTTGATGTGAATTGTAGTTCTGACTTTGCCACAATTACCTCAGAGGATTGTGAGGATCAAATATAATAGTTGTGAAAGTGCCACATAAACTGTAAAAGGCTATACTCATTTAAGATAGATGGTATCCACTCAAAATACAGACAAAATTATCTCACTTTGGCTCTAAGAGTGAGCCAGCAATGAGCTCTCTAGGGCACAGAAGGGAGAAAAATATCCCTCTGATCTATGTCCAGATTGTCTTGGAAGAATGGGCTGTATACTCATTGCATGAGCTTGCGTTGAATGCAGAGCAAATACGTTAGCAAACTGGTCTAATGGACCTGTTGTCAATGACACAAAAGAACTGTGCGGAGAAAAATCCTTCCTAATCTAGGAAGAAATAAATTCCTTTTCCTCTTTCTTAACCTTTGCAAATGTTTATTGCCTACACAACCCTGATATTAATTTGTGCTAATTTCTCCACTTTGAGGAGGGAAAACAAGGGGTAGGAAAGGAAATGAAGATTCACCAAAACATGCTGAAACATATATAACATTATCCTTTCAGTACAACCTACTGGGGTAGAAAAATAAGTCTAGGATTTAACACATATATTCACACTGCTATGACCATTTTACATTACAACTAGCAAACTGAGGCTTAGTGAGACTAATAACTTATTTAAGGCCAACTTATTCAAAACCACAAAGCAAACATTTCACTCTGGGTCTGAGTGGTAACAAAAGCCCTTGTATTTTCCACAACAAAAACACACCCTCTCATCATTAAAAAAAAAAAAAAAGTTAGAATGATAAACAGCTAAGAAGAACCAAAACCTACTTTTAGCTCTTTTTTTTTTTTTTTTGAGTTCTAACATTCGACTTTCAATATTTTTGTACTGTGTAAAATTTCCATTAAATTTTTAATGTAAAACACCAATTCCTCAATCTCTCATTATTTAATGCTAGAGGGCTCAAACCGCTTTTCCTTACAAGTACAAACAATAACTAATAATTGCAAAATGCCCGAAATTTTTCAAGAAAAAGCACAAAATCACAAAAAAAAAACAAAACTGAAAAGATCTTAAGAGCAATGTGTTCAAACCACCTCAATTTATAAATAAGGAAATTAAGGCTCAGATAGGTTAAGTGACTTGCTCAGGGTCACACAACTTGTCAGTTCCAGACTCAAGGTCAGAATTTAGATCTCCAAACTTGTAGTCCAGGGCTGTGCTCTTTTTGCAAGCCACAAATAAATGACTGCACTTAATTAAACATTTAGTCCAGAATATCCTCAAAATGGACCGTAATAAAAGTAAGCCACATGGCGAGGAATGAATAGAGTCGGTTCATACCAAAAATGAGCAGCTGCCAGTCACAGTGATAAGATCTGTTTCTTTCTGAGAACCATGGTTTCCTGCTGCATTGGGGAATCCGAAGTGGGTCTCTCCCTCCCGTCCAAAGAAGTCAGAGTCAGGATGTACGTTCCACTCCGCTTTGGTTGGTGTCAGTAGTTCTGAGACACTGTTTTCACAAAGGGTGCTCGAAGGAGTCAGAGCATCTGTGTCCACTGTTAGCTTACTGCTGGGCGTCAAAGCCTGGGGCTCTGGACTGGAGTTTTTCATGGCCAAAGAGCCCAGAGATCCCAATGGCCCCACAGTTACACTTGAGACCTCATCCATATCTAAGGGGCTCTGCTGAAAACCAGTGGCGGCCGTTCCAAAAAAGAGAGAGGTATCCAGACTTTGAGGAGGGTCGCTGGTGGCCATCAAGGCCGCAGGGTCCACAGCCTGCCCTACGGAATTATTATTATTATTAGCAGGGAGGTTCCCTGCCAGAGTCGAGCTCACGGAAGCCACGTCAATAGTCAAGATTCCCGAGTTCACCAACGCCGTGTCCAGCACTGCAGCAGAAGTACCGTCAGGTACATCAGAGAAGAGAGACACTATCTCTGCATCGCTGAGATCATTCTGTCCCTGGCTGGTAAGTTCACTGCTGGGTGTAAGAGAATTTGCTGCTTCTAGCTGAGCTAAGAGATCCTGGCCAACCTTGTGCCTTTTGGCCATGTGCGTCTTCATGCTGTGCTTGGATGTGAAGAGTTTATTACAAGTGGAGATCGGGCAACGACTTTTCCAAGTGTCCACATCCTGCAGGTGTTTCTTGGAGTGAATGTAGAGGCTACTGCGAGCGGAGAACCTGGCACAGCAGCCTTCCACAGGGCACACGAAAGGCTTCGTGCCCAGGTGGGTTATGCTGTGGCCTTTCAGATGTTCGGCCCTCGTGAAAGACTTCCCACAGCCTTCCACGGGGCAGGTGAACCTCCGGTCATCGTCGTGCTTCCTTTTGTGCCTTAAGAGTTTGGACATGCTGGTGAAGTTCCAGCCACAGCCATCAAAGTCACAAAGGAAAGGTCTCTCGCCGGTGTGACTCCGCAGGTGAATTTTCAGCCTACAGGCCTTGTCATACTGTTTGCTGCAGCCAGGAAAAGAGCAGGAGAAGAGTTCCTGCTCCCTGAAATGGGCGCGGTTATGGGAAAACAGAGCACTCACTGTGATAAACGTCTTCTTGCAGCCAGAAAACGCGCACTGGTAAGGCCTCTCGGGCTCGAAGTGGCTGCGCTGGTGGGCGCTGAGTTTGGCCTGCGTGGGGAAACTCTCGTCGCACACCTCGCATTTGAACGAGTTCTCCTGCTCGTGGCCCTTCATGTGCGCCTTGAGGTTGTACACGGTGGTGAAGCTCTTGCCGCAGCCCTCCGCCGGGCAGCCGAAGGGCCGCAGTTTGTCGTGCGACTGCAGGTGCCTCTTGAGCTTGTAAGAGGTGGTGAAGGTCCAGCCGCAGCCGCCCAGGGGGCATTTGAAGGGCCTCTGGCCCTGGCTGCTGCTGTGCGTCAGCAGGTGCACCTTCAGCTGGTGCTTCTTGGCGAAGGTTTGCCCGCACTGCGCCTCAGGGCACAGGTACAGCACCACGCCTGGGGCCGAGCCCAGCGGTCCGCGGGGCCCCAGGGCGGCGGCCGGGCCCTCCGCCTCCTCCTCGGGCGCCGGAGCAGGCGCGGGTTCGGCCGACTCGGCTAGCAGGAGGTCGGGCGGCAGCTCTGGGCAGTCACCCGACTGCGCGGCCTGCGGGAGCCCGGCTTGCGGGGCGATCAGACACCCGGGCTGCTGGGCAGGCGCGGCCCCCGGGTCCCAAGCGTGTGGTGGGGGCGTGGCCAGGGTGAGGACGCCGTTCTCAAAGCGCAACAGCAGGTCCTGGTTGTGGATAGTGACTGTGCCCGCGAAGGCCGCGGCGGGGCCGGGGGCGGAGATCCGGGCCGGAGTGGAAACCGCGGACAGGCAGCGAGGGCCCAGCGCAGGGCGGCCCGCGGGGTTCGCGCCGCTCTCGCCCCCCTGGAGCCCCGGGCCCGCCTCGGCCTCCTCCCTCAACACAGGCCCTGCGGCCTGACCCGAGCCCGCGGTCTCCACGTCGCCACCCACCGGGTCAAGCAGCACCAGGAAGAAGTCGTCGCCGCCGCCGCCGCTGACGCCGACGCCGCCGCCGCCGCCGCCGCCGCCGCCAGGTTGATCGGGCCTCGGCGCCAACAGGCTCGGGCCAGGGCCCCGTGAAGCCGTGCGGGCCTGCTCGCGCCGCCGCCCGGGCCCGCCATCTTGGGGGCCCCGGAGCAGCAGGAGGCGGCGCGTGGGGACCTGGCCAGCCAGCGGGTCAGGGCCTCGGTGGACCCGGCCGCCGCCCGCGGGGATACCGCCACCGCCGCCGCCCTGCAGGGTCCCGCGAGCCGGGAGCAGCTTCGGGATTTCCATCTCTGCGTCCGTGAGGCTCGGCTGGAACCAGAGCCGCGGCGGAGGCGCGACCCCGCCCCCTGCCGCGGGCCCGAACACGTTCCTGAAAGGGAAAAAAAAAAATGTGCAATGCGCAGAAACTGGCCCTATCAGATATTAAAACGTATTTAACGCCACGGTGATTTAAATATTCTGGTACTGGGTCTCTGGAACAGAATAGAAAGCCCAGAGGTAGAGCCTGCTATGCCTAACTGCGTTCTACCATTAACATAAGTAAGCAACTAAGGAGGTCTTCTGAGGTAATGGGGAAATGACGACAGCTTGTTCATCAACGCTGTGGATCACCTAAGTAGCTATCCGCTAAAAGCAATTTTAATCCGTGACTCATTGTATATACCCAAATAAACACACCCCAGCCCCTCCCAGTGTTAGACGTGTTGCGTCGTACTTTTTGTGTGTTAAAATTTGTTTACTGGCTGCCTGCCTGCCTGGCTGGCTGGCTGGATTGATGGATGAAAGACAGTTCCTGAGAGAATAAACTGTCTCTGTGTCAGCGTTAGACCACCATAGTGTTGGCATTTCTGCTGAAAGTGTCCCTCCCCCTCCCACCTCCCCGTGGGACAACTTCCATACTCACGATTGTCTTGAGCAAAGTCCTCAGTAAAATTTGCCACATAGTTCAATTTTTGTCTTGCCGATACAGAGATTAGAATGAGTGAGCGATGCGGCCAAAACACGTTAGCACTGTTCCGTCTAGAAATGCAAAGCCTGGAGGATGAAACAATTTTTACCGAAATCTGGAAAAAGCCCAACCCACTCCAGGCTTCTCCCTATACAGTGCACAACCCTAACCAACTCTTTGCCCTTCCACCATCGGTTGTACCATGATAAATTTCATGTTCACGCTCAAAGCACAATGAGGGCATTCCTCAGTTGACTGCCTTCTCCAGCACGTGGAGGCCTCTGGGCAGGAGTTCCAGTTACATGTGTTAAGGTTAAACCCTCAGTCACTGCAATGGACTCTGCCAAGTAAAAGGCACGGACGATCATGCCCGATCGCCCTGCTGTACCCGCTCGCATTTAAGTGTGGAGGCCCAGGCCTGCTGGGCCTGTGGTGCCTAATGATCTTATTAATGATGACGACATTCCTCCAATTTGTATGTCAGGAATGAGTTGGGAATTGACGCAAATATAGGGTGAAATATCTGAGATGAGAAGACTTAGAGAGATGACTAGATTGGTCGGGGGGGGGGCGGGCGAGGCGGGGGCGAGTAACCCGTGGTTTAATTACTCCCAGCTCTCTTGCCCTCTTTTAATGACAGTGGGCATTTGGTCTCTTGACTGGAAGATCAAGTTTTGAAACATAACTATTCAAACCTCTTCAAAATTTCTACTCCACATACTTTTCTTTCTGGTACTTTTCCTGGAGGAAGCGTTTGTCAAATCTGAGCTATAGAAGAGTGCATAAAATGTATCTGTATGGTTTAGATCATTTTACAAAAGTAGACACCTATGTAACCAGAACCAAGGTCAAGCAATAGGCCACTGCCAGCCTTCCAGAATACAGCCGCCATACTCCTCCCAATCACAACCCACATTCTCCTATACGGATATAGTCATTGCCCTGACTTTGTAATAATCATTTCACTGCTTTCCTTTATAGCTTTATCACTTTTGTACGCATCCCTAAACAATAGAGTTGATATGCACTTGTATAAATGAAATCATAAGGCATGCTTCCTTTTACAGCTTGCTTCTTTCACCCTGTATTATACTTGAGAGACTCGTCCATGGTGTTCATAATAGCTGTAAGTGAGCACATCCTTTGTCTCCATCGTTGACTGTCGTTCCAGCATATGCTTATAGCAAAGCGATTGTGGTATGATTATGTCACTCCATTCTACAGCGGATGGACATTAGGATTGCTTCTAATTTTCAAGGATTATCATGAACATTCTTGCACATTTCTCATGGGACACATGTGTAAAAATCTCTCTAGGGTCTATAGCCAAGAATAGAATCACAGGGCCATAGGGTACGGATATCCTCTGCGTTACTAGATGATGCCAAATTGTTCTCTGTAGTGGTTGGGCCAGTTGTCAATCCCACCAGCAGCACAGAGAGTCCCTACTGCTCCACATCTTCACCTACACCAAGTGTTGCCAGAATTTAAATTTTACCGGTCTACTCGTGGGCAATACCCAAATTACCATTAAGCTTTAGCACATTTTCGTGTTTATGAGCCTTTTGGAGTTTCTATTCTGAGGAAGACCTATTCACATTTACCTCTTTTAACCCATGTTTCTATCCTATTTCTCACCTGGTACTTTCTGACTTGATGAGCCTGTTAAATATTCTAAATAGTAGTCCACACCTGTGGCCAAAATGTTCCCTGGCTCTGTTTGTGTTTTCCCTTGCATTGGGCTGTGTTTGGTGAGCAGAAGATCTTAACTATGATATAGTCAAATTCATCATTTTTCCTGATGGTTAGTGCTTTTTTAAGAAATCTGTTTTAATAAATCTTTTCTTTTTTAAGAAACCCTGGGCCGTGAATGCAATCTCTATATTTGCTTCTAAAATATGTATGCTATTGCCCTTCACAGTCAGGTCTTAATCCAAAAACAGTTGATGTCTGTTTGTGTATTGTGTTGAGTAGAGTTTATTTATTTGTGTGGATATCCAGTTTTCTCAGGAACCACTTATTGAAAAGTCTGCCTTTTGCCAAGTGATTTACAGTGCCATCAATGAAGTATCTACACACAGATGGCCCAGTTTCTAAGCTCTCTATTAAGTGCTCGGCCCCATTTGTCTGTGCGAAATACCACACTGTCTTAATTACTAAAGACCGATAGTCAAGTTTGATATTTGGGTAAGGCAAGTCAAGTCTACCTTGTTCTTCAAAAGTGTCTTGGCTAACTTTGGCCCCTTTCAATTCCATTTAAATTATAAACTCATCATGAAAACTTCAACCAACAGCTAGTTTGGAGTTCTAATTCAGATTGTGCTGAAATTGTAGAGTTGACCTCTCAATATTGAATGTTTGATTCATGATTATGGTCTGTCTCTCCTTTTAATAAGATCTCCTTTAATGTGCCCAAATGACATATTATATTTTTCCCAGAAGGTAATTTTTTTTTATCCTAGGCACGTCATAGTTTGCAAATCCTATGTTTGAAATTTTCATTGTCTAAATTTGTAGCTGGCAAATAGGATGCAAGTGGTTTTTGTTCATTAACATTTTATCCTACGAGCGTTTAAACTCTTCTATTGATTCTAATAATTGGTCTCTAATACTCTGTAGAATTTTATGTACACTGTCACATCATCTGCAAATAGCGCCAGTCTTTCTTCTTCCTTTCCAAATATCTTATTCCTTTTTCTTGCACCACTGCTCTGTTTGAAACCCCACCCCCACCCCCAGCATACTATTGAATACAAGTGTCGGTAGTGGACATCCTTTCTTGATGCAGCTCTTAAAGAGAAAGCTTTCACTGACTCTCTGTTAAGAATAATGCTTGCGTTCTGTAGCAGTATGGGTCCAGTCAGGAGACAGAAAGCACACAGTGACCTAGAAGGGGAAAGTTTAATATAAAGAATCATTAAACTATGAAAAAAGATCTTATATAGGATACAAGACAACTCTGTCTGGGGTTTTCTGGGGCTGGAGGCGAGTACCCAAGGAAAGACAAATTTAGAATGAAAACTTCTCCCAAAGGCTGGATTTTACATCACATTGGAGAAGAACCCGCTGGATGGCAGAGAAGTTCCACTGGTCTGCCAGTACCTGAGCTGATCTGCAAAGCCAAAACTGGTCTACAGTCGGAGAGGAAGCAAGAAGGCACCCTTTGGAGCACGGTAGTGTGGACAAGTCATAGCTGGTGTCTAGTATATGGCTGTGAAGTAGGGGTTGGGGGTCCTGGCTCAGTTGGAGGCCTGGAGTCAACAATGACCCATGCACAGGATCAGGGTGGGGGCTCAGTGTTGAGAGGGTTGCAGTATTGAAAGGATTACAGGAACGTGGTCGTGTGTGTGTGTGTGTGTGTGTGTGTGTGTGTGTGTGTGTGTGTGGCTATGGAGCAAGTGAGCAGAGGGAAGCAGTGGACAAATGACTTGGAGTACAGGATGTCCCTATCAAGAGGGCCACAGGAAGCTGATCATCAGGCCACACCAGGACTGAAGGTTTGCTGAGGGACAGTTGCTCTGGGCCCAGGCCTGGGACAAAGCATCCTCAGTGGCCTCACCTCTGCACCTCTGAGAGTCAGAAATCAAAGAAGCACCACTTCTGTTTTCAATGTCTGTCCCTCCAGAGCCCTCTATTACGTAAGTGTAACATCCTGCTCTTTGCTGTTACTTTAAAGGAGAGATACTTTAAAAATCTCTCTATTATCAGAGAATATATATTGAAGGGTGAATTTGAAGGTGAGAGGCAACAAATTGATAACCAGCTTCATATCTTTTATCAGGCTAGAGACGTACCCGCTCTCTGTAGTCAGTATGAACAGTAGGCACCCTACCTGCCAGGGTTACAGCTGTTGGCTGCACAAGGGAGATCATCTACCACCCTGTTGTTGCTCTGGTAAGCCTAGACTTCACCACTGGGTAATATATCCATGTAACAAAACTGCACTTGTACCCCCTAAAGGTATACAGATAATACTAATGATTAAAGAAATAGGTCTGTCTATTTCAGGGGGGTTAGTTGACTATTTAGGTTTCTTGGTAGGCCCAGTGCACCCTGGCCTGGACTGAGTTTGCTACAAAACCCAGCCTCTGGCACAAAGGAGCATCACTGGCTTAGGGCATAGAGCCTGTGAGCCCTGTAGTCTAGCCCTACCCAGGACTTGCCTGCTCCACTCACAAGGAGAGCTGTATTGTGTTGTGAGATTGCTTCTTCCACCATAAATGTGACTAGCAAATGTTCTCTTCAGGAATAGAATGATTTCATTTATACCTTAAATGCTGATCTGTTCTCCTGCACTGGAGCTAAACAGATAGAGAAAAGGTGCTTGGACTTCATTTAAAGTCCTGCCTTACAGAGCCCTATCCATGGAGAAGCAGGGCAGTAGATTCTCGAGTTAGTCTCACAAAGTGTATACATCTTACTATATTGGCATTTTGAGTGTTTTAATCATGCTTTTCTCAATTTGGTTTAGGGTCTCAAATAGGCAAAAATTCATGGGAGAAAATAGCCCATGTTTTGCCCTTCTTATGTGGCAAATAATCCATTATTTAGTGATTGAATTGGCAACTGTATTGAGAAAGAGAGACATTTTAGTAACCAAAAAAAAAAAAAAAAAAAAAGAGGAAGAAGAAGAAATCAACAAACCAAAATAAGAACAACAGAAAGAAAACAAACAAAAATTCCCTTTTCTTTTGGTGTGTCTATAATCAAGAGATATAATGAGATACCACTAAATCATGAGAAAAAAAATACTAAAACAGTACTCACC